CGGCTATGACATGCATCTGTTGGTACTGAATCAACTGTATCAACAAGAATAATGGCTGGTACAAAGCCACTAGCGAATGAGAATGAGTTTTTATGGGTTTGTCTGTTTGAAGGCACCCAAAACCATGCTTTATCATCCTGTTTATTGTTAAAATAGTGTCTTTTTAGGACACACCAAGGCAAGTTGCAAGATTTCCCACATTTGCAGGCCAAATCATCTGCCAATGGGCTTGTCTGAAAATGGGGCTATCCCCAAATTTTATGGGTGGTCATGATTTCCCGTACAGTAATATATAAATTGCCAGGCTGGGGACTTCATTTTCAGACATACCCAGATTACACTTACTCTCCTTGTTGTGGGGGTGATAGCCTCAAACATCCTATGGCAAAGCCTTCCGGAAAAAACTTGAACCTTCCAACATTCGGACTTGTTGCTCTACCACCTCAGTGAAAACCCCGTTCACATCTATGGCTGGTCAACCAATGAAAGAAGGACATATATGGTTGGTTAAACACCTGTCTTTCAAATTCTTTCAATGTGTCTACCTGAAAAAAGCGGATCTTTCGGCCTTCCATCCCACAAGTGCCGTGAGACATGCACGCACAGCACACCACTGGCAACATCCCCGGGGCTCAAAGTCTGGCTGTGGAGGATCATCCGACTTAGGACCCACCTGGGAATCCTGGATTAATGGGCTAATCCTTACAGGATGGTGCCCCGAATTATAAGTTCATTTATAGACCCCATTGACTATAGTTATATCTACTACCATAAACATCCATAAGCCATAGTTAAGCCACTTATATCTCAACTTAGCTATCTTGGGGACCCATCCTGTATGAATATGTATTGATGAGCATCCAGCACTGGGCATTCTGCCCAAGCATAGCCACGGATTTGTGTGTATGTGTATTAATAATTATTAATACAGATGCATTTTTGAAGTAACCACCAAAATTAGATGCCGAAAAGTATTTCTAGGATTGTATAGATATCTACTAATCCTAGAATAATGATTGCTTCGAGGATCATCCCACTTGGCAAGTGGTTAATGACTCTGATTAGTAAGTCCCCATTCAGTGGCTTATCCCATTCATAAATGGCTGAACTAACCCCAGTTACTCTATTGCTGGGATTATCCTCCAAGTATCTACCCATAATGACCACTTAATCCACTTACCTATGGGATTATATGGGATTATATGGGATTATATGGGATTATATGGGGTATATATGGATAAACCACTTACATCCACTTACTAACTGGGATGGACATATGACGTTTCATCATTTTTCATGGGTGAAATTCTCCATTGTGCCCGCCTCATCCACCGCTTCTCCCGCATCCGCCGTGCTTTCACTACCCAAGGCCATGGCGCGCTGGCGGGATTTGTCGAGGGGAAACGTTCACTTTTTGGGGAAAATTAACACTGACTCCGTGTAGTTTAGGCGTTTCAAAAAATCGATTTTTAGTGAGAAATGTTGATAGTTTCAACAACGATGTTGAAGAAAATATCAGAACCGGTTCAATAAATTGAGATGTTCCAAGCCACACAGGTCAAATATATTGCAAGTCAGGATCTCATACCGAGATTGGTTCTGGGAAAAATATATTTATGATTCTCGATCTTGCAAAGCTGGGCCAAACGCTTTGATGTATGTCCTGAACATCAACCGTGCTCCCTGGTTTTTGAGTCTCACAATCATGGCAAAAATCGGTAGACCGACCAACTGCAGGAGATGCCCTACTTATCCCAGGAAAACTAAGGTTTGAAACTATGGATAATGGAATGGGTGTGTCAAAAACGTTCAGACCAACTGGGTACCGCACATCGGTTAAAAACACAACGAAAAGTAAGCAGTAGGACGATGATATGGGACATGCTAGCGGCCATGATATGTTCATTCCCATCCGTTTCTTGGGGAAGCCAGAAGTTGCATATAGCTCTGGAATCTGCCCCGTTGACAATATTGAAATAGATTATATATATGTATATAATTATATATATATATCCCATGTGTCGTGGGTTAAGCATGGCTAAGTTACAATTGTTGGTCGGGAAACGTCCATTGATGGTCATTGATGTGTTGGAAAATGCAGCCTTGTTAGATTTCCCGTATTTGTTGTCAATGGAACCCGAAATGTTGTTGCTGAAAATCATGATGTTTGATTGGTTTTAATCCGACTTTTCTTGCTTAAAATCAAGCCTAGAGACAGCAGCAACCACCTCCACCGCGACCCTTCCTTCGTTTTTGCCGCCGAGCGCGGATTGCGCGGAAGAGATGCAGCTTTTGTTTGGGCAGTTGTCTGCAGTGTGCATCGTGAAGCAAAAGGAGAATTTAAGCAACAACATACCAAATTGTGATTTTGAAAAAACATGCCAAAAAAGCATGTAACATTTGTATATTAACAGTGACATATGTATGCATGTGTATGTATATATAGCCTCGTCCCTGCTCTTGGAACCGCGCAAACCTGAATTAGGTTGGTAAAACTTGTCCATTCCGTGACGAAATTTAGTCGCGGAATTGACAAGTTTCATTAGGGTCATCATCATCATCATCATCATCATCATCATCATCATCATCATCACATCATCATCATCATCATCATCAGTATGAACATGAACACGGTGTTTGAGGATCTTCCGAGAACCATGTGAGACCAGTTTTGTTTTTCTGTCTCTTGAACGTTAACATCCCACCCCACCCCCCCCACCCCGCGTGTGCGTAGCATCAACTACTTCTGCAAGTTCACATGAACGTTAACATCCCACCCCACCCCTCCCCCCACCCCGCGTGCGCAGCATCAACTGCTTCTGCAAGTTCACATGAACGTTAACATCCCACCCCCCCCCCCACCCCATCGTATGTGGTTCCAGGAGCAGGGACGAGCCTATATATACACATTTGTATCAGGTGTGAGGAACGGATATTTTTTTGGGGTTACTGCAAAAGGCGAGGGGACACGATCTAATTTTCCATTCTCGTTCCTCGTTTCGATGTGGTTTGATTACAGTACTCGTTCCTAAACTCCGCGCTTGGTTTGTATCCTCTACACGCCTTCAATCTTACTTTACCTAGATTTCTCAGGCGCAGAGCCACCTGGTTTTGAATCTTATTCTGGGGTCTAAGCAGACAGTATCTCTTCGCAAGACTACTGTACATGTCCGATTGCTCATATATACGATCATATGTGTAGATTTAGCAACAATTCCTAAAAGAAAGTGGCAGCCAAAGAGAATTCAGAAGAAACAGGAAGAAAAAAACAACGAAACAATTTCTTGCTCACATGTATAATATCTAGTCGGACATGTCATATCAACTACTCCGTGTATGTGTATACATAATTGTATATTATATATGTATATATATATATGTGTGTGTCCGGTCAGGTGTGTACAATTATATATAATGGTCACCTTTTTACATCCAAAACCACAGAATCGTTGAGCTTGACCACAGCCCGTTGACATCGCTGACATCGCGGCAGATTTCGAAACAGTGAAGTGATAACGTGGACTCCCACCCTCAGCCATTGACGTTACGTTGGACTCAATGAAGTTTGGCAAACGGCGCAACATGCTGGCTGCAAGTGGCTGGGAACAAGTTTTCTTCGCTATGTATGGGGTCTGTCCCAAAATTCAGACACACCCGCATCTACAGTGGTAGCTGTGCAATCTTTGTGTCACGCACCAGCGCAAGAGCGAAACCAAGCTGCCACTTGAGGGTGCATCCCACATCACGTAAGTGGCTCACCATGATCCCACTTAATGAGTTTTATATGGCTTATAGTAACCCCCAAAAAGATAGAAATCAATTCACCACTATTGCTGGATTGGATTGTATGGTTCTATCTTTTTGGGGATTGCTATTAAATTGCTATATATATATATACATATATATATACGTATATCTACACCCTCTGGCAATCAAACATGGCTCTTGAACATACTTTATGTACATGGGTGAAAATTGTGGTTTTGGTGGGAAGAATCACTCAAATTTGGGTGGTGTTCCATTGCTACGTTTGAGGACACCAGAGGTAATAACCATTTCTATTCCATCAATATTCCATCCCATGAATATTCAAGTATATTCCCATGATAATCCCTATTATTTCACTGACAATATATATATATATATATCAGGTGATATCATGTGAATATATCCCAAAAACTCATAGATACCAGGATATATTCCAATGATATATCAGTGATATCCGACTGGGAATATTAGATATCATATAATATATTATATATATCATATATAATTATATATATATATATTATATATACTGTATAATATATATATATACTATATACTATATACTATATACTATATACTATATACTATATAATATATAATATATACATATATAAACATATATCATCATAATATAGACATGATATAGATACCAGGTAATTGCCCTTCCATTAATCCTGGATCCGGGATGCAATGAATCCGTTGGCCACGAGAAATCGAGGGCGTAGATCGATCGAAGGGATCGAATGGAGATTCAATGGGAATCGAATGGAAAATGGTGAGTTAATGGAATTTAATGGTGATTTCATGGTGATTTCATGGTGATTTAGTTGGATTTCATTGTGATTTAATGGAATTGAATGGGAATTAAATGGAATTAAATGGGTTACCCTCGGGTAAACATACAAAAAACTATGGGAAATCACCATTATTTAACCATAATTCAACGAACTTTCTATGGGCCATTTTAAATAGCTATGTTATTTTTTACCAGAGGGTATATTATATCTCAAGAATCCTTCTTATCAGCTGAAGCTAGTAGTAAACCATTCCCCTGTGTTTCTCCTGAACCCCAACCTACAAATGAAAATGGTTGTTTCCCTATGGTGGAAATCCTACACAACAAATGGCTGCTTGGGGTTGGCCATGTCCCAAAAATATGCTTGTCAATTTGCATCATTCCATCTCTATTGAAACATATCGAAACTGAACAAAAAACTGAAACTACGAAAATCAGCATCCCACCCCGTCCCATCTTTGCGGCTTCTACCTTCGACCTAGTCGACCTAGGCCAAGTCCGATTCCGAGGCCGAAGATGTTTCGAGGCTTTCCTCACTGCCGTGCTTCTTGTGCACGTTGTGGTGGTAGGTTCGCGTCTCAGCCACTTCCCGGTCGGTTGAACTGGGGAATCGAAATTGTTGATCGGCAACTCCAACATATGGCCAAAAAATTGCGGAAAATTATGATTAACCTGACAAAACATATGGCCTTTCAAATTGTTGGGGAGAACCCATGTCTGTGAGCCAAAAAGAAGATCTGTGGTCTGGTGCTGTCATTCAAACCTGAAAGATATTGCTGATGTCATTAAACCAATATTGCTGATGATGGTTTGGACTGAACCATGCAAAGTTGTAGGGGGAGAATGAGATTTTTCAGCATGTGCATATCAATTTCTTGCTTAAATGGATGAGGCATTTCAGCTTCCATCGTCCAGTGATGGCCAGTGGATTTCTCATCTGGAAAACCTGCGGAATAGGAAACTCAATTCGCAGCTCCAACCGGCTCCCATTGTTGGGAAATGTTGGGAATATGGATAACAACCATTGCTCACCATAGCTCGCTCCTTACCGTTCACCAGTGGTTGTTGGTTCTCCATGCGGAACATCACACAGCAAATTCCGAGGTCTGGAACTGAAGGTTTATCCCAAGTTTTCAACTTAGGCCTTGACACCCCAAAATTCATGGGGTCTGGAAGACGTTTTTTCTGATATATATTGAATATTGGCAGTGGCCAATTGAGATTCCATGTTGGTTTGCAGGATGAGACCTCGTCACTATCCCATGTCAGGGCACCGTCTGAAAGCAGAGAACCAGCTTGGGGGTGCATCCCCGTCGTTGCAAGTTATTGAAGAATATACAGCAATCCTCCCCCAAAAAAGATACAAGTCGGAAAGTAAAATCCCATTCAAACATATCCAAAATGGTGGTAATGAAATTGAATCTCTTCTATCTTTGCTATCAGGATAAGTGTGCTATTTCAGATGGCTTCAGATGGCAGCCACTTACTATGGAACTTCCAGGTCAGCTGTCTTGAGCGAAGCCCATGGATTGCTCCAAAATGTTGACCGAAAGAAACGAGTACGCCCTTGAACCTGTGGTTATCCAGTTATCCCATCCATGTTGCATAAAACTATCATTTTGTTCTTGAACATGGTTTTACTCGAAACATCCGTATTCAACCATGATCATAATTTAAAAAAAACATCGGTTTTCTTGGACGAAAACCTCAGATTTCTTCGGCCAAGGCCAAGGTACAGGACTGTGGTAAGCCTCCTCGTGCTGTTCATGCAAATCCACATGGAGCGACTCTGGCTTCAGCGGCATGCACAGGCTAATCGCCTGTAACGATGCGCTTCCGCGGGCAGTTGGACGTTTTGACAAAGGGGGGATGGGATAGATGGGTCATGCACTTAGCATAGTTACTACTGATTGGTGGTGGAGCAACCTATGGTAGAAATATGTAGAAATCGTCCTTTCAGGGGATCATCATCTCATCTGGTAGAAATTTAACAAACCTATGAAACCACCATCCCGAAGATGGAACTCCCGGTGCTGATCCGGATCAGTACTTGGAGTCACAAAATGCGAGTCAGTCACGTTACTAGAAGTCATCCATAACTTGAGGTTTTGATATATTTAGATAGTTCATAATGATTCACTAACCTGAAATAAGAACTTGTTCGGATAGTTACCCCTACTCATAATTTAGCAACGCAAATATATACTATAAATCCATATTATTATATATATACATATGTATATATATATTATTATATATACATAAAATACACATGTATGTATTTGAATTGTCAGCGTCAGAAATCAGGGACGAACCAGAAATTGGTGCTAGTTTACATAGCTATCTGGATGATGCCAGGAATGCTCGGACTGGCTGTCCGCGGCTGCAACCTGTAAACGGGATGTTTACACCAAATAATTTTCTGGGCTATTCATGCACCACTTGGTTGGTTATTGGATATTCGGAACATTATAACTATAACCCCCACATACAGCAATGGCTAATTACCATATCAAGTATCACGATATATATATATATAATAATAATACATATATTATAATATATATATATGATATTCAGAATGTTATACCCTTATATACCATGGTTATTGCTGGTTGTAGCCTCATTGCTGGGTTGCAGGCATGGTTAATAAGCACTTTTATTATATACAGTTCCTGCGGCCTGCACATCAAACGGCGGTACAAACAGCAGTAATGGTTACTGCTTGTTGGGTCACAACAGTTTAGTAAGTGGGGTGTAACCCCAGTGATAAGTAGGATAAGTAGGGGCAATGTCCTGTTCTACAGGGGGTGAACTAAGATGAACTAACCCGCGACTCCACGGTTCCTGGGTTTTTCACCCACCAAGTGGAAACAGAACCACCAATCATCTTTCATGTCTCAAATGCGAGTGTCTAGAGAAACATTTATATCAATGGGAGATGATTGGAGTACATACAACCAACGAAATCCAGTGAGACTCTTTAATTGGGAGCAGGCGGCCAGCTCAACAGTGCAGCACTCATCCAAACAAAATATGGTTCAACAAACCAGCGTTGGTGATTTGGGTGCCCTTCGTGCACGCCCCAACATATTGAAGCTGCTGCGGTGTTCCACTGGGTAAACATACGTAAAGTCGCTGCGCTGTTCCACACGGTAGCTCGCTGATAAACTTGAAGACTGTACTTGCCAAAAAGTTTCACATGCTTCCGGGGACAAGAAATCTTGTTGAAAGACTTATATATAAGTACTCGGACAGGCCGGGTCAAGATGATCTTGACATTTGGCGCTGTCTATCCCAGATTCTCCATGGCACTGGTATGTAAGAGCAGGTAAATATGCCAGACCATGGAGCAAAGGTCGAACTGCGAACTGCCGGAAATGCGTCAATGCTCATGACGTCTAAACCCCGAACGCCAACGCCATCCTCTTCTAACACAGAAACAAACCATGTGAGTGTTTCTTTTGGTGGATTCACCCAACTTTTGACACATCTCCAGTGCTCTATCCACCTGCCCATGTGCTTATGTTTCTCAACCGAAATCCATTGTAGAGTATCACTCTACATAAACATCACATCATGGTGTTTATATATTGAATTCCAATTTCAACTGGTGTTTAGGGTTCGTCTGAAATAAGGCGCTCCAAGAGATTGACGGTTGATCATCAGCTTCCCGGTTCTTCAACGGCGGTATCCTCCCGATAATTTATTCAACAAACCCAAATATAATAGTACTCGGTGTATAGATCCCTGTCGTATCCTCATGATATGGCCACTTTTTGTAATGACAATAATCTCGTACCCCTCTCATCCCAAACAAAAATATGCAAAAAATACCAATTGACCATGGCTGTTTTTCTTGTGACATCCCCAACAACAAAAAATTATCCATTGTCCAATCTCTCGTGCGGAAGAAACACGAACAAACTGCACAATCAACAGGCATCAACGATGGTTGCAAATGGGATATTACTAAATGATATCCCCAATATCACCTATGTATCCCCTATAAATTACCAACAAAAACATCCCATATTAAAACATCTCCTCACGTCTCACGGTCGCGCGTCGCCTTCAACAGGATATAGGTGACTACCATTGAATAGACACTGCAGAAGACTGTGGCCACAGTCTGGATGCCTTGCGCACATCACCAGCCGCCAGCGCAAGGCACGAAGGGAAAAGATCAAGATCCACTCATCCAAAACAGAATGATCAATAAGAATATATATATAATACTTATATAAACAGGATATGTGTATGTATATATATATGGTTATATATGTATACATGGACAAACATGTAGATACCAGCTCCCAACACTTCTGAGACTGTATTTGGGGTTGGTTCTTGAGCTTCAAAGACATTCTCAGAAAGTATTTGGAGCACAAGAGATACAGTACACGTGTACGTGTGTGTACGTATATCACATGCATGTGTGTCTGCATCTATTGTACGAACACATATGCATATTGCATGTCTATGCACTGCATATACATATACACATATACACATATAGAGATGTACACATGTACACATATATATATATATATACATACATACATATATGATATATAATATACACATACACATACAGATATAGATACCGATACATATACATATATACAGGTATACAGATATACACATATACACATATACACATACATGTCATATAATCATATATGTATATATTATATACACTCATACATGCCACCAACCCTTTGACTACACCAGAAATTCCCCATGTGAAGCCAGAAGCCAAAATTTATCCGGAGCCAAGAATGGGTATCTCTTGTCTTTATGAAGAGATTGTGGTAACCTAAAGTACCTCCCCAAAGGTTCCCCCAGGATACTCTCAGATTTTCGTGAATCACAGATTGGAAGCCCCATCTAATAATATGAGTATATAAAGCAATACTAGACCATCGCAAAATTTAGCATAAATGGGTGGTACAAACCATCAAAGTATGGGTGGTTTATGATTGCTTTACTAACATTACTCCATTTGAACGTTTGCAAGAAATCTGACAACTGTATATAATATACTGGGCTCGACTATGGCCACAACCCACTCACGATTTCTCCTTCGTGTTGCATGCGCATCCTAGCAGTTGTAGATGGTTAACATTCATGATAACAAACAAACTTGGGGATCGGATAACGAAGTTTTGCTTCAGCACCCATAACCATCCCAGCATTCTAACTAGAACAGCTTGATCGACAGAAGGCCCCCATCCATATCGGAAAGTCATAGACATTGACCCACCAGGCGCCTAGCTGTTTCCAGGACGCATATGGCGGTGCTCCCGGGTTCAAACACGTGGAGGGTGCGGAAGCCAAGTCTTCACACTCCAGCTTGTCAGCGAAAACGCCCAGCCTCGATTCGTTGCTCCATGGTTTGTGATAAAAATATGGGCGTCATAAAATTCACCTGTGTGAAATACATGAAGTTGATCGGACCACATCTATGAACTCGAAATCCACATTACAGTGAGTTGATTGTAACAATTTACATCCCGGCTTTTGCAGGTGAAACCGCCAATTTTCTTTGTTTAATAACCCAAAATTGCCGTTCAAAACCACATCTTCTTCCTGGTTCAAGCAACATTTATATGAGTGCTAGATCCCTGCATCCTCCATCACCAATTTCTTCACAACAACGAAACCATCTCATCCACTTGAAGAGTGAGAACTTTCAAATGGCTGTGAAACTTGAAGATTGTTTTTTAGCCATGGATTTGGTCTCTCTCCCTCTCTCCCTCTCTCCTCTCTCTCTCTCTCTCTCTCTCTCTCACTCTCTCTCTTTCTTTCTCTCTCCTGCATGTTCATGTACCAACCCAAATTTTCAGCACAATGTGTAGTTGTTTTTACCAGGTAAAAAAAAAAAAAACTAGACATTGTGCTGAAAGACCTATAGATTTTCTTATTGAAATCCCTAAATTAATGGTTAATAACCATGACCTGTTGACATTTTAAGTCCCCAGAGTTTGAATAAGATCAAGTCAAAGCCCCGACCGATTCCGTTGTTTTGTGCATTGTCCATTGGGAAAATAAACCAAATCATCGACAAACCGCCAAGTCGATGAAGATTAACCATAAGTTGATAAATGATGTGTATATAGAATATACAGGGTTTCAATCATCTATGATCATCTCAAAAAAAAATGAGAATTCATCAATCCAAAAAATGTGGAGATTCAGCAAATCCAGGTATTCACTATTAATCACTATCAATCAATCACTATGAATCACTAACAACAGGATGGATGTGTTGGTGATTAATCCCATAATAATCCCATGTTCATCACTATGAATCACTAAATCCTTCAGGATTCATTAAGCATCATATTAATCATTATTCATCACCATCATCTTAATCATTATTCGTCACCATCATATTAATAACTATTAATGGCTCTGAAATGCCATGAACCACTACCAATCACTATTAATCAATACTAATCACATCTAATCCAGCCATTTTTTTCTACAGCCGCTGAGTGACAGGATGGATCCAATCCATCCACCCATACCATGCACGCCCCAGACGTCCAAGGCATCGTCTAAACCCAAAAGTTTGATCAGCTCGCAGCAGGCGTAGCAAAAGAAGGTGGCCACTAAGCCGTAGACCATCCTCAACGTGGCCAAATCGAAGGAAAATGCGGGTGGAGTTTGGAAAAATCTAAGGAAAATGCTTGGGAATATGGACAAATCGAGAGAAAATGTTTGGGAATATGGACAAATCGAGAGAAAATGCTTGGGAATATGGAAAAATCGAAAGAAAATGCTGGGGAACATGGAAAAATCGAAAGAAAATGCTGGGGAATATGGAAAAATGTAAGGAATATGCTGGAGAATATGGGAATAAAAAGGAAATCAAAGATCTATGCACCAAACAATGCTGGAAGTTCCCTTGTTTCACAACGGTACATGCAAGTTATTCCAAAAAATAAAATCTTATTTCAAAGATGAAAATACAATTCACGTATTCCCACCCAAAAAACGAGATTTCACCCCAAACAGAGTTGTTTATAACACCGGAGCAACATGCAAGTTACCCACCAACATGCGTTGTATTAAGAAAATCACCGCCTTTGGCACAATTTTCATGTTTGCTGCATATATGTAGGTTTCATAATATGGGGGATCCCCAAAATCATGGTTTCCAATGCTTAAAAATATAATTGTGGATGATTTGGGGGTACCCCTATATTTGGAAGCCTCCATATTGGTCATCTTGGGTTTTCCAAATGTTTGTTTTGCCGATATGAAGAAAAATGGAGAACAAATTTCACGGCAGCTCGGTGACCCCCAAATGGTTGAGATTCGCCGTTAATTGTGTGAGTTTGTGAGTCACCGAACTGGGAGGGTTGGTTGAATTTCAATGAATAAATTCATGTCGGGTTTTCAAAAACCTCATTTGTGCTGCTGAAAACAGTTAAATTCATTTTTGAAAAGATCCATGAAGTCCAAAAAACGGAGATTCATCCAACCCTCCATGATTTTCCATGAAGTCCCCATTGTTTCGCCCCATCCCCAACCCGAAACGCGAAAAAGCCACGCCCCGCTGGGTTCGATGAAACCGGCGGCCGGCGTGATGGTCGCGAGCCCGGCGATGGCGCCCACACAGAGACCCACCAGGGTGGGACGACCCAGACGGATCCATTCGATCCTGGCGAATCTGAAGATGTTGGATGTTGAATTTAGATACATACTTATGTGATGTGTGAATATCCATAGATGATAGATAATGTAAAATATAGAAATATATCATCTGATCCATATAACATGATTATCATATATGCGATGAATAATAGAAAAAACACTTATGTGTGTGTGTGTCTGACAATACAAATGGTGTATATATATATATATGTGTGTGTGTTTACGACTATCACAAAAACAATAATGCAAAAATGAAAATACGACTTTGATAATTTGTAAACATGATAATAGAATCTATATATATATGAATATAAATATATATATATATATGAATATAAATATATATATGAATATATATATATATATATGAATTTAAATATATATATATATGAATAAATATATATATATATGAATATATATATATATATATATGAATATATCTATATATATGTGAATATATATATATATGAATATATATATATATTCATATATATATATTTATATATAAATATATATATTAATATATTGATATGGGAATATGTATGTGTGTGAATATTTATTTAAATAGGCAAATATGATTGTAAATATACATTTGTATACATATGTATATATATATATGTATACATATATGTACATATATATATATATATGTCCACATGTAATTGCACATGTATTTATATATATGTATATATATATATGGTCGTAAATATAGATGTATGTGATTGCAGAGATATATATGTATATATATATATATATGTTGCGATTTAAAACTGAAAACGTATGTGTGTGTGATATATTGAAATATGGTAGTCTAAAAATGAAAATATATAGATATGATATGAATATACACAAGCATGATTGTTTATGAGAACCTATCTCTGATTATTCTGATGTATGAATATACATCACACATATATATATATATATCTGTCTGTCTATCTGTCTATCTGTCTGTCTATCTGTCTATCTATCTGTCTGTCTATCTATCTATTTTTTTGTCTATATATATATATATGGACAATATATCTGTGAAAATCTGTATGATAATTTCGATCTATGATATTAACGCACTACTTTGCAAAACATATGATATGACAAGCAAATGTTACTGCCCCACCCCACCCCGCCCAACCCCAGCAACCTTTAACGTAGCATTAAGCACGTGTGCAAGTGCAAGTGAATGTTGTTGCGCCATCCCGCCCGAAAACCTCCAAACCTCTGACCTAGCATCAAGTGCGTGTGCCTCTGCAAGTGAACGGTACTACCTACCACCCCTCCCCACCCCAACCCCCCCAACGAAGGTAAACACTCAAAAAAAAAGTGTCACAAACTGGCGTTTCGTGACTGCGTCCAGAGACACACACTTTAAAAAAAAAAAACTGTGACGCCAGACACATGAAAGGCCAAAAACGTTCTTTCGTCACGCGTCCGTCTACATTGTATCAATTAGATCAATGATTATCCCACAAGACCACGATCAACGTGGAGCCCCAGTTCGTTAGCTAAGTTGGTGAACTTCAATTTCACTAGGGCTTATTTATGATATCTCGAACTAGTTCATGGGGGAAAATAAACCAACCTTGACAAATGGGGAGGGCACTACCTTGACAAAATCCTCCTTATATATCTTTTCCCAGTATATTCCCACGTCATAATCCCCCTGATATTCAACATTATATCCCATTTGTCATTTCTAGTTGTTTTACCTATCAAAAAATGGTGATGTTCCATCGCTTTTTGTTAGTGACTACCTAAGGGTAACCCATTTAATCCCATTCGATTCCCATTCGATTCCCATTCAATTCCATTAAATCACAATGAAATCCAACTAAATCACCATGAAATCACCATGAAATTCCATTTTTTTCTCACCATTAGATCACCATTTTTTCCATCCAAGGAGTTTTCCCAAATTTTCCCATCCAAGGAGCATCAGCCACAGAAAGGTGGACATGGACGCCGCGATCTCCGAGTTCACCGCCGCAGCCACGGCCTGGCCGTTGCGCACGTCCAGCGCCGAGCCTGGCGGCGCCCAGGTGATATACCAGGTGAATTCACATCCCAAAAACTCACAGATATATCAGTGATATATCCATGATATATCAATGATATATTCCAATGATATATCAGTGATATATTCCAATGATATATCAGTGATATATTCCAATGATATATCAGTGATATATTCAATGATATATCAGTGATATATTCCAATGATATATCAGTGATATATATTCCAATGATATATCAGTGATATATTCCAATGATATATCAATGATATATTCCAATGATATATCAGTGATATATTCCAATGATATATCAGTGATATATTCCAATGATATATCAGTGATATATTCCAATGACACATCAGTGATCTATTCCAATGATATATCAGTGATCTATTCCAATGATATATCAGTGATATATTCCAATGATATATCAGTGATATATTCCAATGACATATCAGTGATATATTCCAATGATATATCAGTGATATATTCCAATGATATATCAGTGATATATTCCAATGATATATCAGTGATATATTCCAATGATATATCAGTGATATATTCCAATGATATATCAGTGATATATTCCAATGATATATCAGTGATATATTCCAATGATATATCAGTGATATATTCCAATGATATATCAATGATATATCAGTGATATATTCCAATGATATATCAGTGATATATTCCAATGACATATCAGTGATATATTCCAATGATATATCAGTGATATATTCCAATGATATATCAGTGATATATTCCAATGATATATCAGTGATATATTCCAATGATATATCAGTGATATATTCCAATGATATATCAATGATATATTCCAATGATATATCAGTGATATATTCCAATGATATATCAGTGATATATTCCAATGATATATCAGTGATATATTCCAATGACACATCAGTGATCTATTCCAATGATATATCAGTGATCTATTCCAATGATATATCAGTGATATATTCCAATGATATATCAGTGATATATTCCAATGACATATCAGTGATATATTCCAATGATATATCAGTGATATATTCCAATGATATATCAGTGATATCCGACTTGGAATATGATATCATAATATATATATATACATATTATATCTGGTTGGTGGTTGAGCCACCCCTCTGAAAAATGATGGAGTTCATCAGTTGTGAATATGAAATTCCCAACTGAATGGAAAAATAAAATTCATGTTCCAAACCACCAACCAGAAGTTTTCACTGGATAAGTTTTGGTGCATGATGAAACATGATGAGTTTCCATGGAAACTTCAGGCACCTGGGTTGAAGCCGAACCAGCCGAACCACAGCAGTGCCGTGCCCAATGCCACGAAGGGCACGTTGTGCGGCTTCTTGTGGTGGTCTTTCTCATTCTCTGGGATCTCTCGGCGGCCTGTCAGACAGGGATTTTCCAGATGTGGATATCCCGCTTTCTGAAAGATTCCATGATTTATATTGATGTATGACTTGATGTTCATGTTTCATGGGATTTACCCATGTTATGGTGATATCTCATATACTTTTTTTGGAATATCCATCAGTGAAAGCAATAAAAATCAATGATTATATATATATATATTATATAACTTAATGGTTCCCAGGAATCGTGTAAACGAACCCCAAATCATAGAGAACGACAAGTTTGGGAACTGGTAATTTTGGGAAAAATATCATTTGCGTCCAACATCCGGGCAAGAGTTAGTGGGACATCTTTTTGAAGATTGCGATAAGTGGATTGCGAAACTAACTGGACTAGCTCTACTTGCCCTTCACACCTATGATCTACTTACTAGAGTGAACCAGCAAGTACAACATCTTTGGATAATCATGCTTTGCACATCGTTGTTGTTTGGGGAAATTGTTAGGAGGATGTATATAACGAACAAAACATCGATATATCGCTTTTGTTTGTGTTTGCATGATTGATATTGGGATATTCAATTAAGGTGAATAGTTCATGGGGATATAACCAACCATGTTACAGCGATATTTTATGAAAACGGTGTATAACGGTACAACCTCAAAGTCATTGCCGTTGTTCACCAGGAGTATTAGTATGATGAAAACAAAGACACGAGTTAAAGTACGAAGAATGTTTGGGAAAAACCCATGAGTCCCCCAAACCCATGAGTCCCGAAATTCTGAGGTTGGCCCATCAATTTCTAACTGGGAAAACGAAGCTCACCAGCTTTGCCCAGTTGTGATGGCTGCAGTTGGAGGTTTCAAGTTGCAGGGACAGTTGGGTGTGTCTGAACATAGAGGACCTCCAAAAATTGATGGCTTACAACCTGGTTTTCCCTATTAAGAGTGCCACGAATTGGCATATCCACCGGTGTCAAACAACCCCTGAAAATTGGGGGTAGTGGACTCCTGGACCCACAGAAATTGGTCAATGTTTGTGTGAAACCGTCAATTTTTGGCTGACAAATGTTGATAACTTTGATCCGTACCGGTCCATACCCAGATATAAGGATTATATACAGTATATACCAGTAGTACCGCACAAGGCGGTGGCGGAAGTTTCAAAAATAGGAAACCTATAGGAGAAGTTGGTTGTTGTGAATCAGGGATGGCAGAGCGAAGCCACTGATTGACCGAAAGGTGGTTGGAGTTGTGTTTGCTGGAATGGTTGCAATGGTTGCAGTGGTCACCTCCCCCACAACTGCTGGATGTAGTGTGATGTACTGCAACTGTAGTTGTAGTTGTAGCGTAGTGGAGTTGTAGTTGTGGTGTAATGTAATTAGTGTAGTGTAGTTGCAGTCATATGGTTGTAGCTGTAGTTGTTTTGTAGTTGTAGTTGTAGTTGTTGTAGTTGTAGTTGTTGTGTGGTTGTAGTTGTTGTGTAGTGTAGTAGTAGTAGTAGTTGTTGTTGTTGTTGTAGTAGTAGTAGTCGTCGTCGTCGTCGTTGTTGTTGTTGTTGTAGTTGTTGTGGTTGTAGTTGTAGTTGTAGTTGTTGTTGTTGTTGTAGCTGTAGTTGTTGTAGTTGTAGTTCTAGTTCTAGTTCTAGTTGTTGTGTAGTTGTAGTTGTAGTTGTAGTTGTAGTTGTAGTTGTAGTTGTTGTTGCTGTTGTTGTTGTTGCTGCTGTTGTTGTTGTAGTTGTTGTAGTTGTAGTTCTAGTTGTAGTTGTTGTTGCTGTGTAGCTGTTGTAGTTGTAGTTGTTGTAGTTGTAGTTGTTGTGGTTGGTGTTGTTGTTGTTGTTGTTGTTGTTGCTGTTGCTGTTGCTGTTGCTGTTGCTGTTGTCGTCGAAGTTAGGGTAGTTAAGTTAGTGAAGTTAGTTAAGTTAGTCAAGTTAGTTAAGTTAATCAGTGTCTACTTTTTCGACATCTTCACGTCAAAAAAAGGCTCAAAACCCTCAGTTTTTTACACTTTTGACTTCGAAATGTGCTTCGCGCCACAACGGCGTGCACTTTTTCGACACTTTTTCGACATCTGAACCTCCAAAAGTGGTCCGAGACCGTCAGTTTTTAACACTTTTGACTTGGAAATGTGCTTCGCGCCACAACGGCGTGCACTTTTTCGACATCGGAACTTCCAAAAGTGGTCCGACATTGGTGTGTTTTGTACATTTTGACTTCAAAATGTGCTTCGCGCCACAACGGCGTGCACTTTTTCGACATCTGAACCTCCAAAAATGGTCCGTACATGGTGTGTTTTGTACATTTTGACTTCGAAATGTGCTTCGCGCCACAACGGCGTGCACTTTTTCGACATCGCAACTTCCAAAAGTGCTCCGAGAATGGTGTGTTTTGTACATTTTCACTTTGAAATGTACTTCGCGCCACAACGGCGTGCACTTTTCGACATCGCAACTTCCAAAAGTGGTCCGCTCCTGGTGTGTTTTGTACATTTTGACTTGGAAATGTGCTTCGCGCCACAACGGCGTGCACTTTTTCGCAACTTCCAAAAGTGGTCCGCTCATCTTGGAAATGTGCTTCGCGCCACAACGGCGTGGGCCAGCTGGCTGCACCCGCCGCTTTAGCGAGCCTACTTTTCGACCCTCCGGAGCCCCAAATCATTGGAAAAACACAGTGAATCGCGACTTTCCTATCTTTTCGCGCATCTACATCTTCTTTCTTCTGATCTTTTCTCTTCTGACTCTTCTCACCTCTGCTTTTCAACTGTCCATATTGTCGGAAGTATAGCTTCTAAACTTCCTTCGATCATTGGATTATGGGCCAGAGTGATTGACACTCTGGGCTAACCTGGGAACAAGGAAATGCTGCATTCAAAAATGGGTGACTAGCCAAAAACTCCAAGTGGGTTCCCCCTTGAACAATCATCTGCCAAGGGGTTTATTGAAGGGGTGGCAACGGGGGTCCAAAGGTTTTTGATGGTTTTTGGCAGCAACCCGGCCTACCACAAAAAGGCTTGCCAACGCGCCAAATCCTGCAGTGACATGCACCACAATGCCTGCAATCGGACGGGGCCAGTCACTGGCTTTGATTTCTAGAAGATGCCATGATTTCATCAACAACTGAGATGAGACAAGTGGAACTCCACATCTAAAAGCAGGCTATGAAACGATAAATCAGCCCATTTCTGTGAATGATTGGGTCACTGGGTCTGATTCACAGCCATGCTGATCACAAAGCACAAGAGCTACCTTATGGAATCAGTGGTTCATCCGCCTGGGGATCAACGATCACTTTCTTGGAACCAAAATGCACTCTCTGGTAAACTAACATATATTTAGAAAAGCCACCATTTGTAAATCATGTTCCGAACAGGAAACCATGGGTTTTCCACATCTTTTTAGGAGCAGTTTTGCGAGGAAAATCCCATAAATTCCATAAAATCAGCAAAATTCCCCATTTAGTTTATATTGAACCAGCATTTTTCCCATGAAAACCTATTTGACCATCATTTTTTCCATCATTTTTCCGATCAAAATCCACCATTTTTCCCATGACAACCCGCCCCATCTGGGGCCATTGGGACGACCCGATGTGGAGGTGGGTACCACCTCATACGCGAAATGTGGAAATGTCCCCACTGACATATCGGTTATGCATATGTATATATATATATATATACATATTATATCTGATAATATATATAATATAATATATATATATATACATATTATATCTGATAGTATATAATATATAGATATATATATATATACATTTTATATCTGATAATATATATAATATAATATAATATAATATATATATATACATATTATATCTGATAATATATACAATATAATATAATATATATATATATACATATTATATCTGATAATATATATAATATAATATATATATATATATATACATATTATATCTGATAATATATATAATATTATATATATATACATATGATATCTGATAAAATATAATATAATATATATATATACATATGATATCTGATAATATATAATATATATATATATATACTATCTGATAATATATAATATTATATATATATATACATATTATATCTGATAATATATATAATATAATATATATATATACATATTATATCTGATAATATATACAATATAATATAATATATATATATATATACATATGATATCTGATAATATATAATATATATATATACATATTATATCTGATAATATATATAATATAATATATATACATATTATATCTGATAATATATATAATATAATATATATATACATATTATATCTGATAATATATATAATATAATATATATACATATTATATCTGATAATATATATATATATAATATAATATATATATATACATATTATATCTGATAATATATATAATATAATATATATATATACATATTATATCTGATAATATATATAATATAATATATATATACATATTATATCTGATAATATATAATATATATGTTTATATATAAACTGTATATATATATATAGTACATGTATATTTTTATGTTTTATATACATGTTTCTGTATTATGGCGGGTTGCAGACATTTGCAGACCACTTCCGGTGGGATTCCCCGGGACCCCTTTATCCACTCAGGGTTGCCTCCGGCGAAGTCACGCGCGCCCCAGCGTGCTAGGAAGCCACCGCCCCAGAGCCAATGGCACCAGGGGCAGTACACCAACCTCAACGAAACCGGCTGGCTGAGCCGCTAGGGGAAACCAAAAAAGTTGTCTTCTCTATATAATGACTATTGATGGCTGCTGAAAATTGAAATTTATGTAATTATATACTATTGAATCATCAGATATATATATATACTGTGTACTATTATCAGCTCTTTATTCGAAACATGTTCACACCACCAATCAGTTGCCAATCAGTCACTTTTGAGACGAACCCCGGTCCGAAACAACACAATACAAAGCTGAATTGAACCTGATCAATGACAAAAATTGGGATTCGAGCAACCAAAATGGTCTCAAAATGAGGTCATACCCCGAGAAAAAAATGATAAGTTTTAACCAACAAAAAGTTGGGTTCTAAATGGGTTTGTCTGAAAATAGGTACCCTCAAATTTGATGGTTAATCACTTAATAATAACTTCCCAATTAAAATAAGTCATTTTAGGGTATTTTCTATTTTCAGAAAGACTCAAATCTTAAAGTTGTAATTTGTCAGCAACAAAAAAGTTGGTATCTGCCGTATCTGCTTCTCACAAGTGGGGCTGAAGCTGCAAGCATTGATCAAAAATGGTGATGTCGAGCGACGACGGTATGGATTTTACCACTCAAAAATTGAAAAACCCATGATTTCCCGAGAAAAGTGATCTAGAAAATGCTGGGGTGTCCATAGAAATCTGTTAGATGTAGCAAGCCAACATGCAACAAAAATGATGATTTCGCAAAGACAAAGCTGGTTCAAAAACACAGCACCCAATGAGGGGTTCTCAAAGGCATCAACAACAATGAAAATGATGTAACCCAAAAACAATCGCAAGATGAATAAATCAAACCAGAATGTCCTGATTGATGTTTCGCAACTTCCGAACCAATAATCCCAGTGCGGTAGGCTTGGAAATCCAGAAATGGCCAATGATAACAAATGATGCATATTGGCACACACAAAGGATCAACCAAATCTAAACAATGGGATGATTTGGCCAACAGAAATATGGCATATGGGCTGACTTCCGGGAAAAATTGTAGACCGAGTCTTAGAACCTGGCTAACTGGTCCGGTCCTTACAAAAAAGCGCTGAAAAAGCTGCCTTTCTCCGTCCCAACTTCAACATCAGCTGAGTGCAGTCTGAGGGACAAAAGCCAAAGCACAATAAAAAACAAATAGGGTTTGAATCGAAAGCGGTCTGCAAAGGCCCCCGTCATCAGGGCTGGGGTGATCACCGCAAACATGCCTGAGACAAGGACGCCGCTTCTCTTTAGTGACCAAGTCCATCATTTAAAAAAGGTACGTACTATTAGAACCATCATCAAATGGAGGCTATCTGAAAAGGGGCTACCCCCAAATCATCTATTTTAATGGGATGTTCCACTATAAACCATCCAGCTATTGGGGTACCCCCATTTACGGAAACCCCCAAATAGCAGTCTGAACCATCAACAAATGGCACTATGAACCATCATCAAGTAGCTTTGCCCACAGTCTTTCAAAAGATCCATCGATATTGGAGACCTGAAATTGGTCAAAGACCTCCTTTTCACTGGGATGATGTAGGACCTCCTTTTATGACTGTTCCAAAAAAAGGGATTGCAAAGATGGCATTGGGTTTACCCCCCCAAAAAAAAGTTTAAAGCAAAAAACACAAAACTGAAACCTGGTGCTCAAATTCATGCAACGGTGCCCTGGTACACCATGAAGAGAGCGCCAGGGATTTCTTGTTCAGGAAGCGCCTGTGGTCATGATTTTGGGATGGGAATCTGTCACCCAAATTTCAGTAAATCATCAGTGGGGAGTAACCAAAGTTAGTTCACCCACTTATGGGGACGATCACCGATCACGGACGGTTGATCAACAACTGCGATCGGGATGATCCTGGTAGGGATACTTTGTTCACGAATTGAAAGGTTGGGAAATACTGGGATTGTCATGGTCAACGTCACTGGGAGAGGAACTGCATAACACCGGCCTCCAACCAAGCTATTTGAATCATACCCAGAATCGTGACGTTTCAGGCGTACCTTAATGGGTCTGTAAATGAGGTATAATTACCTCCAATTTGTGGCCATTGGAACAAGGAATATGAAAAACTAATCACTGGATTTCGGCAGTGTCTCCAAAGTTTATAGTCGCCCAAAAAGATATAGAAAAGTAACATCTGTAAACAAAGAGTGGTGTAGCGATACAGTAGCGTACAGTGGGAATCTACTCTCTCATCTTTTTGGGTGTGCATATACTTTGTCACTTCCGTAGCTCCAAGTTGGTGTTCCCAGTGAAACGTTGATGCCGATCTCATGGACGAAACGGCCCCTCCGGTAGCACATAAGTCACCATATGTCACCATAGTCGCCAAGTACATGTTCTAGACATGTTATGAAAATGTGTGATTGTTTGATGATGTTTTTGTCATGAACATCATGAACATAGCCACAATACATAACCATCATAGATCATCCGTAGTTTTTTTCAAATCAAAATAATAAAAAAACAGAAAATATATCCATGACCATGGCAGACCAAAATATGTCAGACCTGTTTGGACCCAGAGGGGGCTGGTATTGAAACAATCCCAAAATGCGGGGTCTCAGCCAATTTTTGGCCAAGTTTGTTGGCTTCTACCGGTAGTTATCCCTATTTAATCCCATTTGAGCCATGCTCAAAGTCCGATACCCAAAACATGACTGAAGGGCCTCTCAGTTCCTCAGTATCACCAGCGCTGGGTTCCCCCGGTTGCCGCCTCCTTGACATTCAAGTCCCTCAAGGCCATATACGTCCAAGGATTTCCCACAAATCCCCAGGTCTCTGCGAAACAGAGGGAAAAACCAAAGAGAAACCTCGGCATCTGGCAACGGGTTCCATGAAGAAAGTGAGAAAGGCGAGTCAAAAGCTAGCGAAAATGGCGAATCTCCAACAATCATGTGAATTCAATCCAATCAAGAGAAGTACTGTGATTTAATGGGATTATTTGAGTCATCCAGCTGCAGAATCTGAGGGAAATCATCCCGTTTTGGAACACTTCAGCGAAGGAAACCATATTTACAGCTGAATTCTTCCCATCTGCTAGGCCCATTTTTCTCTTACTGGCCATCTACAGTCAGGTGGGAGAGTGAGGTCGTTAGAATTGTTCAGATTTAGCTGATCATTCCACATCACCAACTGGGCATGCTCCAGAACCGCCGAGGTACCAAAAGATGCTGGAAACACCCATCGAGATAAAGCACTGCATCATCATGGTCAATACCTGGAGAGCACCAGATGTCCAATCAACATCATCAAGACGGAACATGTTGAAATGTAACGATGTTTTTTTGGGGAAAACATATTTCGGCTGAGGAATGATTCTGAAACCAAGGATGATTCTGCAACCAAAACCGGATGATTCTGAAACCAAAACCGACCAAGAATGATTCTGAAACCAAAAAAAATGATTCTGAAACCAAGGATGATTCCGAAACCAAGGACACCTGGAAACCAAAAATGGCACGGCTCAGCAATCAAGCGGTGTGCATTTCTTTTCTTTTCGAAGCATCAAGGCGGAAGTTGCACAATAGGAAACCTGTAGGACAGGTTGGTTGTTGAGAATCATGGATGGCAGAGCGAACACACTGATGGATCCACAGGCGGGCTATCTATCTGTCCATCTACCTATCTATATATCTAGCTATCTAGCTCTCGAGCCATCTAGCAATCTATCTATCTCTCTATCAATCTATCTGTCCATCTATCTATCTAGCTATCTAGATCTCTAGCTCTCTATCTCTCTAGCTCTCTAGCTCTCTAGCTATCTGGCTATCTGTCTATCTATCTATCTATCTATCTATCCATCTGTCTATCCATCTATCTATCTAGTTAGTTAAATTAGTTCAGTTACTTTCGTTAATCAAGTTAGTTAAGTTAGTTAAATTAGTTACGTTAGTTAATTAAGTCAGCTAAGATGAGACGAGTTACTTAGTTAGTTGGTCGGTTAAGTGAGTTAAGTTAGTTAAGTTAGCTAGATACTTAATGTAGTTGAGTTGGCTAGCTAGTTAAGTTAGTTGGGTTAGTTCCGTTAGATCAGTCGGTTACGTTAGTAAAACTAGTTAAGTTAGTTAAGTGGTTTGCGTGAATTAAGTTATTTAAGATAATTAGTTAAGTTACCTTAGTTACTTAGTTAGTTTGTTAGTTAAGTTAGTTAAGTTAGTTAAGGTAGGTATGTTAGTTAAGATAGTTAGGTTAGTTAAGTTAGTCAAGTTAGTTAATTTTGTTATTTAAGTTAGTTAGTTATGTGACAGAAGTTTCGAAAGAGGGAAGAAGCTATAAAGGTCTACTATAAAGACAAGGGTGAGCCTGCCCGTGACCACCTGCCTAGAACAGCCGTGGACGGCGTGATCTCTTGAGAGCCTGTCTCCATGCACTGGAACATTATATTATATTGTCTCTTCATCTGGAAACGATGCCATGGCCGCAAGTGTGTCAGAGGAAGGAACGCAGCTGCCAGGACGTTATTATCCCACCCCACCCCACCCCACCCCACCCCCCGGCATCTGGAGACGATGCTATGTTGACTGTGGCCGCAATTGTGACGCGGATGTTGGTTTCTGAGTCGTGCGGATGGTGATTGGGGAATGGCCTTTTTTTGGTTGCAAAATCCTCTTGTTTTGGTTGCGGAATCGCCTTTTTTTGTTTGCGGAATCGCCTTTTTTTGGTTGCGGAATCGTTTTTTTTTGGTTGCGGAAGCGCCTTTTCTTGGTTGCGGAAGCGCGTCTGATTTTGGTTGCGGAATCGCCGAAATTTGGTTGCGGAAGCGTCGAAATATGGTTTCGGAATCGGAATTTATCCACATATTTCGGGATCGGTTTGGTGGAGGCTTGCCTTTTCGTTTCTCAGCAAGAACGAGTAGGACAAGGACATCGGTGGAACATGTTGGCTGATGGGTCAATATTGCTCGCAGGATGGGAGGACTACCAGGGTTTGGTTCCAACCATTCTTTGGGGATCTTCGAGGTTTGGTTTACACCACCAGGACCAGGGCTATGACCACCTTTCTTTTTATATATGTACCCCGAGCGAGTCCAGACTGGGAACAAACTTAATTATATAGATCGCCTGATTTTTGTTCGGAGCTGGGCGCTGTATACACATATCCCCATCCCCGTTCATGGCAAAAGTCAGACCATCGGGTGATATGTTTAAGAATTTCAAAATTCAATCCGTTCCCAGTAATGGAAAAAATTGTCCACAGGGCCTCACAGGTACCTGCAATCATCCTGCCCAATCCAGCAAATCTATCCAATTCTGCCATGCAGCACTCGTATCCTTCACCAAACCACCGTAGAAAAATGCCAGTCCAGGCGTCATCAGCTGAACCAGGGCTGTGCAAATGAGAATAAAAGCCTCGATTCTTGCTGAAGTCACGTGGTTTTTATCAGGGTGACCCTTTTTTCTGGGGAAATCAACGGGGGACGTCACGTGAACATACTGGGCACATAATGGAATATAGCCAAAACAAAAACAATTGGATTTCTTTCAATAAGGAGGATGTGCCACCAATTTATTTCCATTTAATGGCGGACATCAATTTCTCAACACTGGATTTAGGGAAGTGAGTTTTCCAGACCATTCCAGACCAACCCATCTCCAACAACCCAAAGTAATATGGAAAAAATGTGGGAAATATGGGAAAGATTGGAAATCATCTTTTGCGCAAAAATATCCACGCGTGTGGGGTACCCATGGCATGGCAAATTCTATGGCGGGCACAAAACAATTTGCGGGTAAGGATGGGGTATCCGTGGACCACCGTTTTTGGCAAGGTTTCTTTGTAATGTCAAGTCAGGAATAATCAACCCCGCCCGATTAATCAACCACTACTGCCCCATTTTTTTTTGTAGTTAAAAAAAAAGGTGGTCCCCCCGGATTAGTAAACTCTTTGGCATGGACCTGATTAATCAACCACCAGTGCTGAAATCCCATTTTTTTTGATCCGAAATTCTTTATTTCCAATTCTTTTTGTTTCTCATCATGTCTCATCAATCTCAGAACTCAATGTGTGTCAACAACACCAACCTCTTGGCGCGCATTCTTGTGAAGTAGCCATGGTGGTTGCCAAGATTTCACAACTACTGCTGCCTCGCAAGTAACGCAATCCTCATCCAATTTTTGAAAGACTGTTCTTTTTGCAACGAGGCTGTTGGCCAATGGCCAAGCAAAATTCCGCGAATCGGGTACGATTTCCAAGTTGAGCTTCACTTAAGCAATCAAGGCCAAGGCATGAGGTCTCATGTGGTAGAGCTTTGATGAATCTGGCGTTAAAATCTCCTGGAGTGAGACAGGGAGAGTATGAAAAATGACCTTTAAGTCTTTGCTACAATTGATTGTAATGTTTGTCAGCGGCATCAAGATCTGAGTGACATGCCTGTGGAACATAGGTAGAAACTACATCAAGATATCCAGCCTGCATCCCAAGTGTCAGCATGATGTTTCTGGCATTGTGCTGCCTTTCATCTACAACATTTTTTCCAGTCTCTTTGCATACACAATGTCAAACCCGAGGTGCTCAATAGCTGCCCTACAGACCTAGTTGTGGGATACACCGTCTCGGGAAGCTTTACCGGGTCTTTTGAAATTAATCGCTTTGTCTCGGTCGTCATCTTTAACTCCACTGGACCAGAACATGACGTAGTTGTTATGGCATTCCTTGGCATTAGAGCTGATTGTTGTTTCTTGCAAGCAAAGAATATCAAGTTTCTGCTTGGTCATGAAAAGAACCACGCATTCTTTTCTAGAAATCGAAGATAACAGACGACAATTCAACAAAGCCACACGAAGATAAAGGAAGTTTGTTTTCCAGTAATTACCAAGTCTCGATAGTCGGAATCTTCCGTGACAGAAGCACTTGGTTTTGATTGCGCGCTGCAGTTTTTTGCATTCATTGAGAACGGCTAACAACTATCAAATAAACGCTTCGGATCTTGGGCGACATACGCAAGATTTGACTCGCCAAGTCTTGAGCCTGCGACCTGGTTTCTCTGAAGCGATGTAGTTTGCTGGTTTTGCTTATAAGCCCTACGAACTATTTCTACTTATCAGTGCGTGTAGGCTGCGAATGGCTGCGACACTTTTGCTTGGTCAATTTGCGGCCAATTCGAGGATTGCGGGCGTGCAGTTTACCTGTTTTCTTCTTATGCGGCCTGAGAGAGGTGGGATGGGTTCAGTGCATGTTACCGCTGTCTCCAAGCTGTGCTGGAGCACGGCTTTGCCGCATCGCCAACGGGGGGGCCCGCGAACGCTGAATAATTAGGCGGGTGATTGTTGAATGTCTCCTGGGCTTGGGTGTGGATCGAGTGAAAGATGATGATATGAAAGTCTTGGCGCATCCTTAGGCTGAGAGTATAAGATTACCTCAAGAGACCCGAAAGTCTTGCGGCAAGAGCCGCGGTTTTCTTTCCGATGTTTATCTTTACGAGTCTTTTTCCACTGAAGTGAATTCTGCTGATTAATTGCAAATGTGTTTCGAGAATGCGCACAGGCTTCGAGAATGGGAAAGTCCGGAGACTTCTTTTTTCAAACGGTGCTCTGGAAAATGGGCCTTCTAATTTAGAAAGAAAGGATTGGTAGGCAGCTGTCTGTGCATAGCTGCGCTTACAGGCCCGGCGGCTTCAGGAGACGTTCACCGAGAAAGGAAGGGTGGCTGCGCGGAAGGCTTCGGACCACAAAGACTTCCACACATCCCAGTGGTTGATGGCATCCTCTATCGGCTTGATCTGGAGGGCGAAGGGGAATTTGCAGTCTCTTCCGTTTGAGGTGTGGTTCCAAGGCGAAGATTCTGCTTCTTGGATCATTGAGTGTGCCATTGAACTTTTGCTCATACGTGGTCGCGAAGGCTTGGATGCGAGCCCCGGTGCACCACGGAGGCGGGATCTTTTCACGCAGGCCCGCAGCATGTCAAGCAGAACCCCACCTGCTTCTTACCGTGCAAGCTAGATGTCTTTACAGTCAAAAAACATCCAAAAACCGCGGCCAAGACCAGCCCTGCTGAAACAACGGCCAGGGCCCTACGTGGTATGATTCTCCCTCTATCTCACTATCCTGGTTTGGGTTCCCCCTTGTGCGCGCTTCTTCTAAAGGTTCCTTGCTTGCGCAGTTTCTTGCTCACATGTGTCAAAAACACACCTGCGAGAGTTTGGTAAAGACAGTGGACAGTGGACAGCTATTTCACCCAGACTGGTCAGCCTGAAGCCCCGTGAAAGCAAACAAGCAAAAAAAACTCCAATGCCAAATGCCCAAAAAAAAGCCCGTTGTAGGGGTTATATAAAGGTTATCGCCATGAAACTATCCATTTGTTTAACACAGCAGAGTATCTCCTTTCAAGCCCAAATTCTCATGACCGACTCTTGGTTCATCCAAGGCCCTTTCTATATCCATCATGTTTCTAGGATGTCAAAAGTAAGGTTTCAACATATGAGAATTCTAAGACACTTTGAAAGTCTTAAGTAATATCATTATATAAAAATATGTCGATATGTCCAGCATATTTCGAAGTTTTCTATCCTGTGGCCCCGCCCTGGTGCCAGGTCGCTGTGCTGGAGGGATTGATATCATTGGCCATGGCAGGGGAGCGCCTGCGCCGGTCCTGGGAGGTGGCCAAATCCCGCTGGGGGCAAGCTGTGCAAATGGTAAACAAGCTCTAAAGTACCAGAAGCTGAATTACAGATATATATATATATGATATGATACGATACGATATGTATATATACATATATATATAGTTCACATATATATATAATATATATATATAATATATATGTATATTATGTATAAATATATATATATATACTGTATATTGTGAAGAATGCCATCCTTTATGAGAAAATGCCAGAATTGGCCCAACATTCTTATATATATAACTTATTGTAAGCATTGCAAAATGCTACTTTCCAACTCCACCCCGTTTGGGGTGCTGCTCTCAAAGAGATGCATGATGGATGGTAAAAGTCAAAATCCTAAATGATCTAGTGAAAGCTATAGAAAATTACAGTAGCCTGTTCATAATCTAGTGGAATCACATAAAACAACCTCAACATCAATCTGATAGCTTGCTGGATGGAAAACCCATGGCAAATCTCGTGGTGCCAGGTCCGGTGAGCTGGTTTCCATGGCATTGTAATGGAGAATCCTCAAACTAAATGGAGGTTTCTAGCTGGGAAAATCATGTATAAACGGATGGTTTTCCAGCCATGGAGCTGATTACCCGAGGTATGGAGCCAGTAAATGGTATACTACGGGCACAGGAGAATTTGAGGTCGTTCTGTATGATTCAACCGTTTTTGGGTCGGGTCAAACCCCTGGCTTCGTTCTACGAAGTTCACGGCGATGCACTGGTCTGTAATAAGACCGATGGTGCAAATCGACATGATATGCCAACAAGGGGTTCTGAAACAAGAAATACTTATACTTCAAGATATCTCAAGATGGATTTATCCGATTTATCCCCTAGACTCTAGACTAAGTATGACTAAGTCACTATGGTTGCCGGCCCCGAGATACGTCCATTGGAAATCATTGGAATGCTGCTACTCAACGACTGAGAAAAAACAGACCAGACAAGCCAGGCCGATACATTCTGGGCCCAAGTTCGAGGGGTCCAAGCAAGGTTAGCTTCCGCCAAGAACTAGGGCTTTCCAAAATGTGCTCCGGCTTTGATGCCCTCCGGCTTTGATGCCGGAAAAAATAGAAGGCGTGTCCATCCCCTACAGCTGAACTCCAATTCGAATTGGCTAATGTTGAAGAGAAAATCGCAAGAAACCACCATTCTTGATGGTGAAACATGGTGAAACCATGATTTCCAGCAATTTGTTTCTCCTAAATCCATCCATTGAAACGCTCGTACTGCGCGATAGAACCTGGTAGAAGATGCCCAGCTGAACCCGAATCTGTCATCCCCACAGTTCCTGCTTGGCCACGTTTCTCAGGTGGATTAGTCAGTCATGCCTAAAACCAAAGCAGTTCCTTAGGAACAAAAACCAACAAAACTATCAACCAACATTCAACAGGGGTGACACTTCGCATTGCTCGCAAGTGAATCCATCACCACGGGGGCGAACAGGTGAATCTAATCGGAATCCGACCCAAAGACGTTGAGACCAGGAGCTGAGTTTCAGAGCGTCGCAAGGGTAGGGGGCTTTTGGGCTTGGGCCAAATGACCTTCATGAGAATGCAGTGTGAAATGCCCTTGGTAAACATCTCCCTGGTTGATACGGGTTCCTTAATATGGGTCATAAATGGTCACAATAATCCATGGTTGGTGGTTACCCATCCCCAAAAGATGCGGATCATCTCAATCAATCATCCCGTGTGTATGGTTAAAACCAATAAAAATCTGAAACCCCACCCAGATCCCATCAAAATCATTAAACACGTGACCTAGCCTCCTCCAAATAACTAGCTGCAATGGTCAACTGGTCACTGCTGAACCAATTGATCCGGAAAAATCAGAACCCGCCCCAAATTTGGGAGGTCCATGTGGTCCATTTGAGTTTTCAGGGTGCCGATCTCCAGTTCTGTTGCAGGGTCAATCCACATGGATGCAGGATCTACACCTGTCAAAAGGCGCCCAAAAAGCAAGCCGTAGGGCATGATCCCTGATATCAAATGTATGGAGGAAATATGTTTCAATGATGAATGCCTTAATCCCAGAAGCGTGTGTAACTGTATATGTATGTGTGTGTGCACGTATGTGTATATCACCCTAGTAGTTCAAAGTCATATCTTGAGGCTATTTTTGGGGACCATCAATTTCAAGGTACAATCGGCCAGAAACAAGGGGCAAGCTCACTTTGAATGGCCACTAGTCTGTGAAGATTGATTTTAAAATCAACCTGTTTTTCTCTGAGGAGTGATTTTCCACATCTGGCTCGCTGCCTTCCTTGCTCCTTCCCAATCCACTTTTGCTGGAGCTTGGATGTTGGACTCTTGTGCCAGGTGATGTTCATTACCTTAAGCATGTATTTGTTCCCTCGCACTTAGAGTCTATGTTACTATGTTGGTACTTGGGGTGTTAACACATGAGAAAATGTGTAGGCCTTTTGGCACCTGACACATGAGCAAAGGGAACCACGTAAGAACACAACTAAACCATTTAATTCGGTCGAAACCATGGTGACCCTTCTGCTCCCATCTCAAGAATGTTGCCAGTTTCTAAACTGTTGAAATTGACCCAAATCTGCTGGTGGCTCATGTTTCCACTCTTCTGGCTAAGTCGAACTCATTCACCCGAAAAGTTCGGCCACCACATGCTTGATTCCCCCAATCCTAACCATCATTCCAGTGACGTCTCAGTGAGGTCCTTATAATTCACCCAGAGTTTGTTGCTGAAATCCATTGTGACTTGATGAGATCCCAATTTTCATGGTGAAATGATGATGAAATCCGCAAATGTCCCAAATGTTCTGGTGGTGTATCCAGATTCCCACGTTTTTTTTCTTTTTCCCCTCTTGTCTTCACGTCCAAACTCAGCCTGGAGCAAAGAACCACGGAAAATAAAGCAACACATAATTACAGGATGGGGCCCTATAGTTAGCTAAGTTGGTTTATAACAGTGTATGATACTTGTAACATCGTGTAACTATATTTAGGTGGGGTTATAAACCAACCTATAACTGGGGGGGGCCATCCTGTATGGGTTTCCTAAAAAAAAGGGGTACCACAAATCATCCTGAATTAGATCATTTTAGTGACTCGGGGTACCCATGGTGACTCGGGGTACCCCCTTTTTAGGAAACCGCCAAATATGGCCACTGTTTTAGATACCCTGCTATCAAAAATAGGTTTTTGGTTGGCTAGCACATACATATCTGCAATTATGTCAAAAGATTGAGGTATTTAACTGCCCAATCTGAGCAACAAAAATTATTTTAAAAAATTGGGATGTAGCCAAAAAAATGTGCAGTAGTAATACAAATAGAATCAGTTGGATTTTGAGCAAGTCTCACACCTTGCTTGGTGGACATGATTCCAATCGTGACATTTTCCTCTGAAAATCTTGGCTCACCCAAATCCATCCTCTATTATTGCATAAGTACCAATAATGATTCCCCCCAAACTGAAAGAAAAATGCGAGTCCCCCTCCGAAACGTTTTTTTTTGATTTTCGGGGACCCACATCGGTGAATTTCTGATTAGGAAGGGACTATCATCAGCTCATGAGAAGTCACCTAAGACTTGGACTTGCGGGGGCCATGTGTTCTCTTTATAGATCCCCGTTGGTACATGAGCCAATCGGAAAATGGGTGTTAAAAAAAAAAAAAAAACGTTAGGAAAATCCAACATTCACAACATTCAACAAAAAAGATTGCCTAGGCCTAGTCATCTTTTCCAGCTGCCATGGATCATATTTCTCGAGACGACCAAAATCAGCAACTCTCCAGCTCTCAAGAAGGTTGTGTTGGTCTAGATCTGAGTCAAGTCATTACTCAAAGTATGGGATGGCTTACCATTACAAAACGTCTCTACTTCAGTACTTGGGGAATGCATGGGGATATGGTTCCACTGAATTTGCGCATGTGCATGACCATAAGTATAGGGGGCGTTTAAAAAAAAAAAGTATCCCAGTGAATCCCCACGGTTGCTGGTTATTTAAAGAAAAAAACATGAAATCATAACCCCCAACTGCACCCTATAAGGTGATGATTCGTTAGCTCAGTTGGTTTACTTCACTCGGTTAAGCAGTGTTTATGGTACCAGTACATATATCGAACTAGTTTTCATGGGGGTAACATCAACCAACTAATCACTGTGGAGGGTATCACTTTCTATGGGCTGGGTTATAGCTCTGGATTGGGATAGGTCAAGACCCCAATTATATCTATATATATATATCTATGTATATATATATGTATGATACTTCTCAACAGGACTCCCAGAGTCAATGCATTATCACGTCAGCCCCCACATAAACGGCATCCCCTGGTATTTCCATAGTTTGCCATGGAAAATCCCCATGTTCAAACACAGTACATGGTATCACCATGTACGGCTGTGCCATCTATTTTCCAGTGTAAACTCTTGCAAATTGCCAGAGGTTAGCTCATCGGCAACAATCAAAATGCAATAATTAGCAATCCTTACACTTGCCAATAACCAGCCATAAAGACTGGCAACAATAATCCCCTATAAAATCACCCATCAACCAGTCACCAGGAGCGGTTGAGGTTATATTGATACGAGTCCGAGGGGTAACTTGCCCCCAAAATCTATGAACTTACCCCACCGCATGGCACACCGCTTACCCCACGACCCCAAGAACTTACGCCATGTGCAAATCACCATGGCACACCGGCCCTCACGGACAGGTTTTTGGATTGGTTTGTTCTTTTCCTAAGGGATTTGGTACATTTTACATCAGTTCGTGAATTCTTTGACCTCACCCCAAATGTCAAGGAACGCATGGCACACCTACAAGATGTTTTCTATCAACCCAAGTTCTCAGATGTAATTCCCATTGTCGGAACAACATATTTAATCTCTAAGAATGTCATCCATGATTGTTTTTCCCATTGGCACACCGAGTACATCCAAGTACTCAGGTAACAGTTTTCTTTCTGCAGCCGATCACTTTGCCGATCCATGTATGTGCACATTGTTTTCCTATGCGGACTGCAACGCTTTGTACCGTTTATCTGTCTTAAACCTGACACAAAGCGTTGTAAACCGCATGGCACACCATCAACTTGACCTCTAGAAGACCAGGAGTTCTACATGACATTATCATTGCGTTATTTTTACGAGATCCTTCCGAGGTCTTTACGAGATCTGTACGAGATCTGGATTTTGCAAGGCAAGGCAGCAGGGCAAGGCAGCAGGGATCTTTTCTACTCTTCCCTTCTCTGCTCTAGGCCTCTCTAATCACTTCTACTCTTCAATTCGATTCTCTTCTCTACTCTTCTGTATATAGTCTCTTCTACTCTACTCTTCTCTTCTACTGTTCTCTCTTCTGTGCGAGTCAAGCTATTGAGAAGCCATCCCCATGAGTTTCTATCTCAAGAAGAATATGTCTCAAAAACATGTGTGCCCCTGTAAAGTGTTAGAAAAATCAATGCCACAAACAATTGATTCATCCAGCAAGAATGACATGTATATCATGGACTTCCCAACGGCACACCGTTTGCGGCACAAGAAGATGACCGCGGCATAAGTTACCACTTTGACCCAGTATTTAATCAATCATAGTTGGGGCTAAACACGACTTAGGAGGTTCACTTTTGCATGGTTCTACGACTTCTACCCGTAGAAGTGTCATCCCTTCCAACCGCAGGTGACCCCCAAGGACCAGTCCCTCCCAGGGTTCCCAGGGTCAACTGGACTCTTGCCTCAGCTCGCCGCTTCCGCTGCAGCGTCCGTGGCTTCCGTTGCTTCCGCCGCGGGAGGCGCGTCTTGTTCGGGGCCGGGCTCGACGACGTCCATGGGGGCTGGGCCTGACATCTGCGAATTTCTGAGATCAAAAACTGGTGATCCATGGTGATCTTCATATCTCCAATATCGTCTCATGGTATACGGAGTGTTCTATCAACTGTATCTTTGGATATCTTTGGAATATCTTTGGATGCTTATTTCAGATCTGTGGATGATTTGTCAACTTGATTCTACGATATTTATCTGTATGATTTTCAGATGTTTGGATGATTTAGCATTGCTGATTTCAAGCAATGGAATGTATGATTTGTGGCAAGGGATTCAAAGAGCATGGAGAAAGTTGAGATAAGCGACGACCCGGATCTTTTGCCGATGATTTAGTACCTACACCACATGCTAATGGCTGAGATGGTAATTTCTCTGGTGATTTATCCGAAATTTAGTGGAGATGTTCCCATGTTCTGCATTTTTTTTTAGGTTGAAACAGATGTAACCCGAAAGTACAATGGGATATGTTGATGGGTTCAGGGAGTGGCGGGAAGGAACCGCCAGAACTTGCTATAGCTGCTATGGCCCGTGAGATAAGATATCTTCATTCCCTGTAGATGTCCCATTCAGGTAGGGACCAAACAAATAATCCCAGTAGATTCCCGATGGATTAAGCACTTGGAAAATAAAAACATCTTCATCTTCAGCAAATCAAGTAATGAAACACATGGAACCGTGGAAATGCAGTTGGAAAAAAATCTGCCTGTTCAACTTAGTTTTTGGTAATCAAATACGGTTTGCTGGAGAATCCTCCATTTAGTTCGATGATTTTCTGATTTCAAAGTCCATTGATGGGAGAGTTCCCCACTAGTCATGTTGACTACCAGAGGGTGCATGGTATTCTTGGGGTTCCAATGTTCCAGTTGGTTTTCAGCATTTGGCTGCCCGGCCCTGTTCTGCTCCTTCTCCTTGACGCAAACTTGGAGTCCAAACTACCAAGAATGGGATGAATTAACAACCAAAACTAGGGATGTTAAGGGATGTTATTAAGGGATAAACCAAGGTATCCAAATTGGACATCGTACCAAAAAAGTAGCTCAAAAAAAGGTTTCATGTTCAAAAAATTAGATCATTAAGTTTTCACAAGTTGGCAGTTGTATAGATACATAATATATACATATACACATATACATTGCATGTACATATGGCTTCCTTGAGGGATTTAACCATGGGATTTCACCACACATAGGCATTTAACCACCAAAATGCTGATATGGATATTGAGGGTGTGTCCCAACATGGGGTACCGCACTAAAAATCTGTGGCTCCGTATCGCACTATTGTTTGCTATCATGAGTTCCGACCCCATTTTGGACCAAACCAAACCAAGAACTTACATGTCACGTTGGTTGCAGCATGCTATCCTTGGGTAGTTGTATTGAACCCTCGTGAAAGACATTCGTCAATAGGGATACAGCAGTCATGCCAAAGACCAAGTGCTAGATTCTACTTAGTATGTATATACATACATATTATAGATTATAATAACAATCATCATCATCAGCAGCAGCAGCACCACCATCATCAGCAGCAGCATTAGCATCAGCATCAACATCAGCACCAGCATCAGCATAATAATGATAACAAGAACAAGAGCAATAACACTAGAAATAGTAATAACAATAATAACAATAGTAATAATATATCTGTCAAATTGGGGGTGTCTAAGTCCATGAATCCATTCAAACCTCACCATAGTAGGGGTGGTTCCCAAAATATTGCCCCAACCCCTTGGGGCTGCCCATGACGCGCCGATCTCCTGGCTCTTTCAGATCATCTGGAAGCACTCCGCTCTTCAAGGCCTTGTGGAGCGAAATAGATGTGGTGACGTGAAATAGATGTGGTCTACAATATATAAATGGGATCAAACATTTGCTATATATATATATTTACATATATATATATATGTGTGTATATATATACATACATATCATATATATATATACACATACATATCATATATATATATATATATATACATATCATATATATATATATATACATATCATATATATATACATATCATATATATATATTATCATATATATATACATATTATATATATATGTCTATTTATAATGTGATCATATACATATAAATTGGATTTAAATGGGATTATAATAATGATATAATATGCCGGGTTCATCTACATGGGTGATGATAATTATAAGATGAAGAAGAAGAAGAAAATATAGGTTTATGTGTATATATATACACTCTCTCACATTGCACAAGAAATCTCTGTGCTGGACCGGCAGCGGACCAACCTGTGTGAGCCGCGGATCCACTATAAATAAATATATATATATATGCATGTATGTATGTATGTATGCATGCATGTATGTATGTATGTATGTATGTATGTAATGTTGTGTTGTGTTGTGTTGTGTTGTGTTGTGTTGTGTTGTGTTGTGTTGTGTTGTGTTATGTTATGTTATGTTATGTTATGTATGTATGTATATATATATTATATTATATATATACACATATACACATATACACATATACACTGAAATAAATGATTAGGTATGTACTTACCCAAAAAAGACAGAAAATCAATTTATCACTATATCCGTTCGATTTTACTTTTCTATCTTATTGCAGATTGTTATAATTTGGGGGAATTGATGTGATGTAATGAGATGCAATGAGATATAATGGGCTGTAATGGGATATAATCAGATGTAACGGGATATAATGGGATGTAATGGATGTAATGAGAAAAAATGATTCATTGCATCTCCGTGATATTTTTCTACACCCCGTGACTGGACCCCCGCAATGAATCAATCAATCCAGTACTAAACCAGAGTTCCGTTTGGAATGTGTATAATTTCGTCTTTGGTGGCGTGGGATCATTTGGTTGCTTCAAATCCATATACCCAAACACGTGCATATATATATAATGTATTACATAGACTATCTTCCCTGCCAAATCCTGAGCAGTGTTGAAAACCCCGATGAATCCACCCTTCTTAGATAGTTATAGAGGGGATTTTCATCATCCGTGGCAATAAAATCCATTCTCAAAAATCCAAAAAAATCTCGATCTATATAAACACAAATGTAAAAACTACAAGCAAAATCAAACACCATGTTCACATATTTTAACAATAGATCACTCAAAATTAATGGGAAAATATTGGTTCCCAATATTCCATACATCACTTTTCCATAGATTCCAATAATCCATGCAAAAAAAAACAACAACAAACAACAAAACTTGGAATCCCACAAATAACTTAAAAATGGTGATGTGATCTTAAATACCATTATAATGAATGATCATATACATGTCAATGGGATTTATTGGATGTGCCATTACAATTTAAAGCTATATTTTCTATATTTCAATATGAAACGAAATATCATAATTTATATATATATATATACATATTATATATATTGAAGGTAGGAAATCATAAAATCACATGGATGGATACTTCATGATTACTTCCCTATTCATCCCATAATCTCCGGAATCAACTCGTCGTGCCTTCTCCAGGCGTGTGACCTCCTCAATGGTCTCAGCTTCCGCGATGGCCTTTTTGATGCGTTCCTCGAATGGAGCAAGGCGCCGGGCGGGGTGGCTGGAGGGTGGATTCTGAGGTGGACAAATATGAGACAAAAGGGAAAATGACGGGAAATTAAGGGAATAACATGGCAAGGGGAAACTGTCACTTTTAGGTGGGAAAAGATGGGAAACGAATGGGAAAGGTGGGAGAATGAGGGAAAAATGATGAGGAAAAATATGGGAAAACGGTGGATGATGTATTCTTACTTTGCAAGTAGGAAACATATGGAAAGGGATGAAAATGAGGGTGAGGGTGATGATGATGAGCATGAGCATGAGGATGAGCATGAGGATGAGCATGAGGATGAGCATGAGGATGAACATGAGGATGAGCATGAGGATGAGCATGAGGATGAGCATGAGGATGAGGATGAGCATGAGGATGAGGATGAGGATGGGCATGAGAATGAGCATGAGCATAAGGATGAGCATTAGGATGAGCATGAGAATAAGCATGAGGATCAGGATGAGCATGGGGATGAGCAATAGGATGAGCATGAGGATGAGGACGACGATGACGATGAGGACAACGATGACGACGATGAAGACGATGACGACGATGACGATGAGCATGACGACGAGCATGAGGATGAGCATGAGGATGAGCACGAGGATGAGGAGGAGGATGATGATGATGATGATGATGATGATGAGCATGAGCATGAGCATGAGCATGAGGACGAGGATGAGGACGAGGATGAGCATCAGGATAAGCATATAAGCATGAAGATAAGCATGAGGATAAGCATGAAGATGAGCATGAGGATGAGCATTAGGATGAGCATTAGGATGAGCATGAGGATCAGTATGAATGAGGATGAGCATGAGGATGGGGGACGACGATGACGATGAGGATGACGATGACGATGAGGACCCTCATCCTGATCCTGATCCTGGTGAAGTTACTACTGACCTCAAGCACTGCTTATGAACAGGGCTGCAATAACTGTTGCCCAAACCTTTGCCCCAAGGCTAAATCCTTCCATGTCAGTTCAACGAGGCGTGAACCTTCAAAGAAAATGAAACGGAAACCAACAACCAAGTTTGATTGGTCATCTCCTCATTTTCACTGGTCATCTCGCCATTTTTGTTTCGGAAAGTGCTCCGAGCCACAATCACTTCAGGGGAAGGTCCAGTCTTTGTGACTTCCGACACCTGCACGCTGCAAAGTCCAAGGCGTGGTCAAACACCTGTGATCTCCCGTGGTTTCAGCATAATGGCCTATGTGGGAAAAACCATGTGGTTTTTATAGGTGGTTTAATAAACCACCCAGGACTAAAAATGGTAAGTCTCTACAGTCTCTACCACCTATAAAAATGGTGACTGGGGAATGGTTTATGACATTGTCTCAAACCCACACTACTCAGGTAAATCCACAACATATGCCCAAATAAAAAATGCCCCGATCCACATATCTTGCTGGTTGTATGGATTTGTCTGAAAACTCATGGGCAAAAAATGACAACGACCTAAATCCACTGGTTTATCATCACGTTCCCCATCAGATGCTTCAGACGCACCCATACAATGGGACTTCAAGTGCAAAAATGGAGATATGATATAGTGGGATGGAGCCATGCAGATGATTTGTGGATCATAATTGAGATAATCTGGGAAGCTTAATAACAAATCTACCATTTGGGGATGGTTTTTAGCACCCATTTATGTTCGTTAGGGGGATGGTGTATTATTGGGTTTACCACATTGTAAAATTATTCCTGGAAGGGTATGCCAAATGACAGCTAAGCTGGTTTATTTCGATAACTGGACTTTATTTCATGGATATCAATCTACAGTTGGGTGAACATCAACCACCTCAATGTCAACCCCGGATTAGTAGACCATGGTATACCATGGTCTATTATTAATTAGGGGGGTACTCCCCCAATAGTCACACATAGTCACACTATGATTAATCCAGGGTTGACATTACAACTTAAGAACCCCTTCTAAAGTAGGGGTAGTATAGAGTAACCCCCCCGTCTCAGCGTTTGCTGAGCACCTTCTCAGTCTGCTCCTTACCCACCACTCGCGGGGGCGCAATCTCCTGCGACCAAGGTAGCTGTGCTGGGTTTTGAAAAATTGGGATTGGGGGATTAGGTCTGCCGCAAGAACCACTGTGGTTCTTATGTTTCTTGGGATGATTAAAAGTATCTTGGTCAAAAGTCAAAGCCATGTTAAATCAGCACCTGGGTTAGTTAAATCACCATTTTGGTCAGTGAAATCATCCCTTGTGATCCTGTTGCTGGTTCATAACCGGGATCCTCCAAGAGCTTCTTCCCACGATCTCCAGCGAAGAGTAGGGAGGCCGCCTGGGCACCAGTTTCCAACTGTAGAGTTGTGGAAAAAAATCATGCCTATATACCTCCAATAATCAATAGGAAATTCAGGAACCTAAAATAGAGGTACTGTATGGTACTGTCTTTGATTACCAAAGAACAAAAAGGTGAGGCCCCCCACTCTTAAGTTCGTTGGTTTACAAAGCCCTGACACTATAGTTCCATCACCCTGATCAACCCAAACGTTGACCAAGTGATGTGCGTCAAGGGGGCTTCACGTTGTACCAAAAAAACCCTCCGATTATGCTTGGGTTTGAACGTAGGGTGAATCTTAACCACCAACAACCATGGCGGGCCAGTAGGAAATCCCCGAACTGAATGGAGGTTGATTTCACCAACTTGTAACCGGACACCACCTTGGCCAGTGTACCTTTACAATGAAAAAATGGAAGAAATGTGGGGCGGGTTTTGCGTATCACTTGGGGGGACTTGTATTTTTTGACCAGCCACACCTAGGGTGAAAATCGACGGGGTTGTTGTTTCCCGATGGGATGTCACCTCGGGGAACCTAACATCGACCATTTGAGGACCAATGTCTTTACACACAAGATAAGACTATAAGACTAATTAGATGGACTAATTAGATGCAAACATAGTTTCTAGAATGTTTCAAACGTGCTTTAATTCAGAAGTGCTTGGTCGAATTGTTCCCCAAATGAACTGTTTGGCTTAGATTGTCATGATTATTTGTTGTGACAGGCACATACCCTCAGGATAGTATGACTATATAGCCTTTGTCCTTAGATTTCCATGAAACCAAATGAAAGACTGTGTTGAATAGTCATGGAAGACATACTGGTCAAACCAACTAATGGCAGTTAATGGCATGTCAACTCAACCATGTTGGCAAACGCAACTCGTTACATGTGGGTTACAAACTATCTGCAGATTTCCACATGTTGATGGATACATCCCCATTGTATCCACATGGTTGCCGGTTGAGTCGCCATGTTTGTTGGAACAAATCACCAGGCTGCTATCGAACAAATCACGTTTGTGTTATAAAAGTAATCATGTTTGTTGAATAATTGCCATTGTTATTGGATAAATCATGATTGTTGTTGGTACCCTGTGGTAATTTAACATAGCTATGAAAGCCATGGCCCATCAATTTCGATGATTTACGGCTTAAAACTGATGATTTTCCACAGCAAAATGATGCAACATGTTAAATTAGCAGGAGTTAAAACCCAACTTTTTTCTTGGTTACATCGACATATTACTCGGAAAACATTAAAAAACACACACTAGACAAGAATGGATCATTATATGATCCGGCAGGAACTGAATCCTGAAACATGCAGATTAGATACGAAACAATGAAATTAACGATGCATCCTACGAATAATAGAAGTATTTCTGAATGGTCTTCGTGTTCAGAATCGACATCAAAAAGAATAAATAAACCAGCAATAATATCATCGGCGATGTCTCGGCGAAGATTAGCCAATAAATACTGTCGGCGACGATGTTGTCGGCGATCATGTAAACGGGTTGTTACAAGTATGCTTTCTACGTCCTTGCTCAGAGGAAGGTTCTGATGCAGCGAAACAAATCGTAAATGACCAAAATTGATTCCAGATTGCGACAACAGTGCAGCAACAAGACAGCTTGTTCAACAGTTCAAACCAAATTCTGCAGGTACACAGAGTTGATCAGACTCTGCTTCCAGCCCAAGTGGATAGCTTCGTTGGGTGCAGTCTCCACTGTGCTCTGCACCCCCCTGCAAATAAAGCAACATTCAATAAGAAGTTTTACATCTGTTCAGATGTTACACACACACACACCTCGCATATAGCGAGGTTTGATTTTGGAAGAGCTTCGCGGGCGGGGTCGGCAATACACCAGTCAGAGTGAACCTACCGGGTGCTAGTATACAAGGTTATGCTCATTTCACTCAGAAGGGAAATTCGCTTCTATTTGAAGTATCTGGATCGGGTCGTGGAAGCTCATGCGATCAACCATCCTCCACGTTTCGTTGATTTCCCCAGATGCCGTAGCAGCCGTCAAAGTGTCTGAAAGTTGTTTGGCTAAATCTCGAATCTTCGTGGTCAGGTCAGGTGCCTCAGAAGGAGAGATCGGGTCGATGGGAACATTGTGGAAGGGACTATGTCCATGTAGTAGAGGGAGCTCAAAATGATGGCGCCAATAGTCCGCTGTCCGTAAAGACCACTCCCAGTTGCCAGAAAGACCGTAGAAATAGTGTTCGGGATCACGACATTTGGAAATTCCTGATGCTGGAATCTCTTCGATGAATAACTCCCTGGTATTGTTGGAGTGAGTAAAGATCTTGAAGTGAATCTGATGGACCACTCGTGATGTGAAACGCGCGTGATGAAGAGCCATGTAAGTTGAGCCATCTTGTGTCGGGAAAGGTACAGCCGGTTGAGGTGGAGCTGAGTATGTGTCCATTGGCGTCGAAGTGCCTGGGTCATTGGGTGTAGTCACCGCTTCCAAAGATGCCGAAGGGGTCGAGGTCGTATGAGCAGGAGCGTCAATAGTACTTGCATCAGGATGTGTAACTGGGTTTCCACGGTTCGGAGTCGAAGGCCATCCCAAGCCAGCTACCGATGCGTCGCGCTTGTTCTCCATGGGTGAAACGGTCACGCTAAGGAAGTGAGAAAACCGAAAGCTGAGGGAACAATAAGGGCCAGTCAGGATCAATGAACAAGCTATAAATAAATAAACGATGTACCAACGTTGGCGAGGTCATGAAAAGAAAGAGGAGGTGAATACACGACAAAACATGTTTTCACTCAGAGGCTTATCAAGATAGTGATGAAATCATATTGTCACTGTCCGCAATCTGGTCGTTTCTTTTCCCGGTCTGGCTTCGAATGAAGTTATGGTAGGATGATACCTTGACGGACTTTGTGGCAACAAAGTCGCAATACGAAAGGCTGTGAAGAACCAGGTACAAGCAAGGTAGATTCGATGTAATTGTACTGCCGGATGCGCCATTCAGGTCGGTATTCCTCCAAAAGCTGCATGATGGTCCAATCGATTGGTACTTGGAAAACATCTCCTTCAAGATCACCGTAGCGAAGTTCCAAATCCGAAGGTACCATGTGGATGTCCCATTGGGTGCGTAATCTCGTTGTCAATGCGGTGCGAAGATCTCGAAGAGGGAAAATGCCTGCTTCGACTGGTTCAAATAGACGTGCCCAGGTGAAAAGAGCCTCAAGTTCTCCAGCACTAACGTTTCTGAAATTTGAACTGGCAAGAGCACTGTATAGGGCATGATCAGGTTGGCTGCGATGTGTCAGTTCTCGTAAAGGGGAGTAATCCACTAGGACCAAGACGGGTCTGGGTGGAGGAGGGTCCCAGTCGCCAGGAAGGCCTCCGTGTCCAGCAAGCCATGCCGAAGTTCTAGGGCCTTCAGGTGTGTTCACCGTGGATGTAGCGCGATATGGATGAGGACGAGAGGAAGGAGCCATGGCGTCGAACTAAGAAGGTTGAGCCCAAGCTGCATAGTTAAAAAGTTACCAAAGGGCAGTGAAGAATAACGTGAAAATAGTTGAAGGAAAAATTGCACCACGTTGAATACCCAATAAAATCCCATATAGTCGGTCTTCTTTACTGTCGCAAAGCGGAGTGGTGCGTTACACGCTGGAGTCAGACATATCCATAGGGCCCGGTTCGTCAGTTGGTACTGGTCGGTGAGGGTGATGTCCAGGTGTAGTAGGGTTGTTCGAGTGTAGGGTCCGGTGAAGTGTTGTTGATGGTGAGGACGGTGGTGTAGATCTCCATGGTGGCCAAGATAAAGAAATAGTGGTACCCTGTGAGTGATGTTGAGCAGAGCGTCCCCAGCAAGATTGGAGAATGTGTAGTTGATCCGGTATGGCATCAAACGGTTGTGAGACACGGACGTTGGAATGTTCAGGATGTGGGAGAACCGGAAAAGATGTTGCCATAGAGGAAGAGGATGATTGGATGGGTATGTCGTAGTACTGGCGCCAATTGTTGGCTGTAGTGCGTGATGTAGCACGGTCACGCGTGAGGTGCATGTTTTCCAAAAACGTTTCCACTGGCTTCCAAGTTTCTCTGCCATCTGCTGTCCGTTCCACGATCCAAAGTTCATCAGGCCGAGAAGTGAAGGGGTAGCTGAGCTTCTTGATGAAAATAGTGTGGACGGTTGTAGAAGTTGGAATCATCCTGGCCGCCCGGGGAATGTACGATGCCGAGGTTGGATCATCAGGTGGTAAATGTGGGCCAGTGGTATTGGTCAAGGTCATCGAAGAAGGTGCTGGGAGCATCCGGGGTAGGCCATCGGTCGAGTGGTTCGCCATGTAAAGAAGCAATGAATATAAGGTCGAAAGCAAACTAAAGCCGAAATTTGCCAAAGAGAGGTCCACAATAAAGTTTGAAAGAACATCAAAGGGAGGAGTATTTACGGTGACATTCAATAGAACAAGGAGTCAACATGAAGAAATTTGGTAAGAATGATGATCAGCGGAAAAGCCCGAATATTTCCACGAGCGTTCCCTTTTGCCTTTCCTTTTCTGAGTTGACAATTGGGTGTCTTGAAATTCAAGTGGCATTCTTTGTATATCGCGTTGCCGTGACGAATGGATGCCCTCGAGGAATCACTTGAATGTGTACAGCAAAGCCCGTATCCTGCGGATCTGGATGGGGTGTCACCACAAGAGGTGCACACTCGCGAGGCGTGAAGGCATCGAGGTGTTGGTGAGTCTTCCAGGAAGGATAATACCAGTTCAAGATGTCCAAAAGAGAATGGGGAAGATCATCAAGCATCTGGGCTCCTTGATCCGTATCTATCATCATGTAGAAGTCGGAGGCTTGCAGGTGTATCGACCATCGTTGCAAGATTGTATCCGTCACCACAGTTTTCAAGTCTGAAACAAAATGACTGGGCGTAGTCCGGGTAGATCACCTTGAAGGTCTGGAAAAGGCTGTCATATGTTTCCGTGGAGAGGTTGCCTGCGACCTTGGGGGCCAAGATGTTGAAGTAC